TGAGAGATTCTGGGTCAGGGTAGCCCTTGAAGGTCTAGTGCAGAGTAGCATGAGAATGACAGAATTTATTGTCTTGAGTCTGATCTCACCCATACACAAAATAGCTTCTAACATCAGTGTACTTCCACTGACTTCAACAGAGTCACTCCTGGAACATCAATGTAAAAGAGAACAGACTCTCAGGGGAGAAGGCTAGAAGGCAATTAATAGTAACAATCTAGAGATGAGAAAAGCCAGATACATCCACGAAAGAAGCAAAAACTAGACAATCTTGCGAAACAACAACTAAAATATGCATATTGCCATGGTTGCATAAGCACAGAAAGATAATACAGTATTTCAGTATGTATATACAATTAAAGTATACCATCCAACCATCCACCCAACCATCCAACCATCCAATAAAACAGGTAAAAAGCAGGGGAGAAGACAGTTTGAGAGTGTCAGTTAAAAACTTTACTTGAAAGAAGTAATATCTAAAAATCTTACCTGCATCTCCTACCATACTTGATAAGAGCTGTGGTTAGTTCTAGCTGTGAGTCTGTTTCCTTTACAGGAATTTCCTTTACCTCAAAGTCATCATCCCTTCCTTTCTCAGCTTAGTTGTAAAATGTTTATACTCAATTTCCGGCTAGTTTTCTCGTAAGATCAGCACAAAAATTGTGCAACCTTTATATGAAAGTCTAAGTGCAGAGGTGGGGAACCTTTTTTGATGCAAGGGCCGCTGACCTACAGAAAAATCAGTTGGGAGCTGCACAAAAGTGAAAAGCAAAACAAAAGAAACAGAAAGGTACTCCCTACCCTCCCCTCGTATACCAGAGCCCAGTGGGGCCCAGGCTAGCAGATTGTATGGGGTTCCCCTTGGCTCTGGGACAGAGCCAAAAATGAGGGGTTCAGAGTTTGGGAGTGAGCTTTTAGGAATTGGGCTTGAGGTATGGCATCTGAGCAGGAGGGAGGGTGTAGGAATGGGTTGGGGGTTAAGAACATCAAAACAGCCATACTGGATCAGACCAAAGGTCCATCTAGCCCAGTATCCTGTCTTCCAACAGTAGACAATGCCACAGGGCCAGCCTTAGGCCGATTCTCCCGATTCCTCTGAATGGGGCCCTGCACCCTGAACCCGGAAGTGTGCCGGCGCCATGGGCAGTGAGTTAATATTCAGAGCAGGGGGCCCTGCGCCAGCAATATTTGGAGCTGGGTCTCTCCCCAGGTTCTGTCTGGAGCGGTCCCCCAACCCTACCTTCTGGCCACCCTGCACGTCCTCCCACCTGCCCCCAGAGCGTCCCCCTTGGCCCCAGCCCATCCCTGCCGTGCGTGGCTCTCAGTGCGGCTCCCCCTCACCAGCACGTGCTGCTGCTGCTGCTGCTGCCATGCATGGTGTTTGCAGGTGAGTGGGGAAGATGCTTGGGTGTGACATGGTGTCATGGCCTGGGATTTTAAAATGGCTGGGCACCACATTGCGTCACATGGCCTGGGGTTTGGAGTCCGGGGCCCAAGCACAGACTCTGGCCCCGCAAAGTAGAAGGCAGAAAGGAGAGGAGAGGGAAAACTAGGGGGAGTGGAAGGGGGTGGGAGAGGAAGGGGCTTGTGTGGAGGGGAGGGGAGGGGAGGG